CCCGTCTGCAAGATTCGAGATCCGTGCTTTCCTTGCGATCCCCCACATGCGACACTGGCGGCACATTCTCATTGCGCCTGTCTGGCGATGATGCAGCTTCAAATACCGGTCAAGCTGACGTCGGCATTGTTTTGAGTCCCCGGGCTGAAGCGGCCTTGATCGATAGGATTCCAGTCAACAGTCGGATGTGCGCCGTTAAAGTAGATGGTTCGTTCCATGCTACGAAGTCGCGAGGGAACAAAAGGTGCCTGTTTGTCATTGCGGCCTACGCCCCTACAAACTGTAGCACTGATTCGGTGAAAAGATGATTTCTATTAGCAACTTCACGATCTCCTTCGTTGCAGAAGAAGCACGGATACTGTGGTGTTGGCTGGCGATCTAAACGCCCAAGTCGGAAAATTGTCCTCTGATGAGCTTCATCTAGGCGGCCAACATGGTGTAGGCTCCCGTAATGATAACGGTGAGCGATTGCTACAGTTGTGTGAAGATGCTCGTCTCTTTCTCGAGAGCACAAACTTTCGACACAGCACCCACAGAAGCGTGACTTGGCGCCCACCAGTCACGGGCCAGCCATGGACACAAATCGATCATATCGCGATCGGTTACCGCTGGAGAGGCTGTATCCAAAACTGTCGCTCGATTTGGAGCAGGGGCGTAGACTCTGACCATGCACTGGTTTGCGCCGACCTCGGGTGCGTTTCGGCGGACGTCCACAACGTCGCTCTGAGCGCATCAACACCCGCCAGCTGGCGAAGCCAAATGTTCTGAATGCATATCAATAAGCGCTGGCATCCGGGCTGAGTAAGCGCCCAGTGAGCACCGTCGAAGATCACTGGTCGCATATTCGTCTAACGTTACTATCTGCAGGCATGTCTTCATGTAGCAAATCAAATTGCCAAACTGGACCTCTGGTTTCTCCACAGTCTCTGGAACTTATTTATGCTCGCCGACATACTCCGGCTGGAAGCGAATACCATAAGGCTCGCAAAAATCTCAGAGCAAAACTGCGTGTTACCTTGAAGAGAGACCACGAAACCTGGTGGTCTCATCGTGCCTCTGCGATGGAAACAGCCGCTACCGTTGTTAAGCATCTTGTTATTCCGTCTGATACGGGAAACAGGAAGCAGGAGACCTTGTGTTAGCGAAACAATACGCGACGAGAGTGGGCAACCGATCCACAGCCTGCCAAAACGATTGGATCGTTAAGCCGGACACTTTGCCAGGCAATGTAACTAATCTGAGTTATCGGTTTCTTTTTCAGGAATTAAGCGCTCTTCTTCCTTGGCCGTCTGCTTGAATCCGCGCTCACGCACAGAAGTCGAACGTGAGATCAAGCTGTTGAAGTTGCATACGGCCCCAGGGACAGATAGAATTCCTCCAGCCCTCTTCAAATTCGGGGGACCTGCTCTAGTAGATGATTTGCACGAGTTGCTAGTGAAACTTTGGGAGCAGGAGACTTTCCCGACAGACTGGAGCTGCTCCGTCACTGTCCCAATTTTCAAGAGAGGATCCCGTTCGGAATGTGGCAAATATAGAGGGATTAGTCTGATCTCATTTGCCTCTAAATTGCTTGCGTCTGTCATTCTCCACAGTCTGACTGGCACTCGTGCAAGCCAGATTCGTGAAGATCAAGCCGGATTTCATCGAGGTCGGGGCTGCATCGACCACATCTTCACTTTGCGTCATATGTTGGAGCACTGCTATATTTATTGGCAACCCACCGTTGTCACGTTTCTTGACATAAAACTTCTATTCGACTCAGTTGATCGATGTGTTCTTTTGGACTGTCTGCTGAGGAAGTGTGTGCCTGATAAATACGTAAACATTATCCAAGCGCTGTACGCGCATTGTTCGGGCAGAGTGAGGGTTTATGGCGAACTGTCGCCACCCTTTAGTATCACCAGCAGTGTGAGACAAGGTTGCTCGCTGTCACCTTTCCTATTTAATTTCGCAGTTGACGAAATCACGAAAATGGCATTCACTGGACACAACCTAGAAGGTGTGGAGCTACTTGCTGGTGAGCGAATTCTTGACTTGGAGTATGCGGACGATATTGCCGTAATCGGTGACAGCTCCCAAACATGGCAAACAGCACTGGACCGATTAGCACTGGCTATCTATCGTTTTGGGCTATGCTTTGCTCCATCGAAATGCAAAGTACTTCCCCAAGATTGGCAGGGACCCACCCCTGCGCTAACGCTTTGTGGTGATCCGCTACAACTCGTTCACGAATTCAAGTACCTGAGCAGCTAAATCAACGCTCGGGGAATCGAAGATGAGGTTACGAACCGTATAGCAAAAGCTCGAGGTGATTTGCCAATTTCCGCCACCTGTGGCGGAGACGCGACATTACTCTCGCCCTGAAGAGCAGAGTTTATAACGTTGCCGTCCGTTCGGCTCTCCTATATGGTTGTGAAACCTGGCCCATCAGATCGACAGACAGAAAGAGGCTCGTCACATTCGATCATCGCTGCCTTCGCAGCTTAGCTCATGTCTGGTGGGAGCACCGCGTGAGCAATGAGCGTGTTCGCCGTCGCGTATTTGGTGCAGGAAGAGCGAGTGAACCGCTCAACCCCATTATATCACGAACCAAGCTCCGATGGCTGGGCCACGTGTTGCGCATGCCAACACACCGTTTCCCGCGATGTGTATTGTTTGCGATCCGGGGGTGCGGTTGAAAGAGCAGGAGGGGAGGCCAAGCGATGACTTAGTCGAGAGAACTGAAAACCCTCACTTCGAAGTTGGCGTCGGTTGCTGCATCTCGACTGCCTGGCTGGGGTCTTAAGGACGATGAACACGTTTGGTTGGACAGATTTGTTGATTTGGCGTTTGTGTTGTGAGTTTCTTTTCCACCCCGCTCCCTTTAAGTTCCAGCTCCAACCTTAATATCATACCATTTGTATAATCTAGCACTTAACGTCATACATTTTGTAGGGTAATTTTCTAGTCTCGTGTTTTTGTATTACGGCACATTAGCTGAGGTGTGTCTCTCACCTTCAACAAATTGTGCTGATGATGACGAGACTTGAAGAATTTTGGCGTAAATTTCGGACATTCCCCTTCTAACTCCACGGTTGAGACGTATCACACCTGGGTTAGAGCTCTATTGTTGACTTTTCCAGTATCTGTTTCTTTGGGACATGCAGCCTTACATCTGCTTTAACGCAAACCAGATCGAAAGCGATTCCCCTAATTATACTTCATTGTTTAAATATTCCTTTGGCAAGCTTCCGCTTATTTTTTAGCTTGTCTGCTGTTGTTGGGTTTCCCCATTCCATTTCAATCCCACTTGTTTTTTTGCCATTTTTGCTGCTGACAAATGGCACAACTGATGCCTTACATTTATGTTGTATTGTGGAATTTCAAGTGCTTGTTTTGCAGCGCTGTTATTATGGCACTTATTTTTTCCATGCATATTCAAGCACTATGCCAGACAGGATCATCTTGGCACCCTGTCCGTTCAGTGCGCACTGTTGTATCTGTTCTAAATGACTTTGTCACATCACCAGGGTGCACAGGTTTTAGTATCTCCGGAACGTGTCAGTCCGTTTGAGCTGCAAGCATCGATTTGTTGTATTTTCTTTCTTCGTGCGAGCTACAACGCCCCAAATTCATGAGGGTGACAGGACGCACTTTTTGAGTGCCCATTCGCACGTTTCCGTTTTTTCACTTTAAATTTTCCTCTAGTCTTTTTTCCGATTTTCCTTGTAGCATTCCATTGTTCTCAGTGGCTTTGCTCGTGCGCCGTCGCGCGATTGCACTTAGCACCACCTTTTAGGTTTCCATTTCTATGGGGGCACGTCGGTGCACGATCCGGTATCCTCCACATATGAAACCTACGGAACCTAATCAATAGATAGCATTGTTTATGCTATCGTGTGCAAGTGCAGGACTGGGTGACTGTTTTGAAACCGCGGTTGTTTTTTGCTTACCGCACAAACTGCCGTTGTCATTGCGCTTCTCGTGTATCTTTGTGAATTAGGAAGCACATTTCTCATTTTTCACTAGTGTTTGGACTCTATGTTCTAGCTTCATTTGTTGAAGGAGCCACTCCCTACGAACATACCCGCGAAATAAGACAAAGAAATCTGTCTTTTTACGGGGTACGCTTCTGAGTTGTCTTTGCCGCGTGTTCGCTACGTACTGTGACTTAACCTGTCTGCTTTTGACCCCGGACTGGTGAATTTATCTAATACTTCTCGTTTCTCTCTAACTCGTATTGCTTGTGATATCTTTTTGAATATACTAAAAGTAACAGCGAAATCATATGATCAGCGCAAAATCCTTTTTATCTGAGGGTGATTGTTGGTAATGAGCTATACCTGGTCCCGATGAGTATCCAGTCACATTGTATTTCATTTGTTTTTTGAGCTTCAAACCGCATCAGTATCACTCGCCTTCCTTTACGTAGCCGGATGTTGATGCCTTACAACCGTATGATGTTGCGAGACCCTTACATATGATAATAGTTTGGAGTTTCTCTCATTTTATTATGTTTATCCATATGGTACGGTTTTGTGCCGATTGGACTACTGGCGACCGAGTGAGGGGTTTTTCTATTAGATAGTCAACCTCAGTAAAACGGAATTTCCCCGAACGTGCGTTCTACCAGAGGTGGTATGTTTGTTAATGTCTCGTTAAGTGATAAACACCCGTCCTATTAGGGATAACCTGGCGTTTTGTCCTGCTTTCTATCATGTAGCTGAGAGAATGCACTGTAAGTTGGTTCGCTTTGGTAACATGCAGCTTCGTGAGTTGTAACTGGTTGACAGCCGCACAGCCAGTTGCGACTACTCGGTGTTAATCTCTGCAGGAATAAAGGCAACAGCTCTCTCAGATGCTACTCCATACGCCAACACATAATTCCCAGTACATCCGCTTGTGTATTATCTTGTTCCTATAATCATTCATTAATTCCACTTCAGAATTGTCTTGATCCGTTGCTTAACTACGCCTTCCAGGTCACAGAGTCCGGAGCGCCTCCACGCAGCTTCTCCACCATGAATATCTACGCGCTGTCTACTTCATCTTCGATGATGGATGACACCGCAGCGAACATGGGTCCCAGTGGGGAGGTCATCTCCGATGTGCCCCGGACGTTCGCTCGCTCAGTTTTGCCAACTGGCGAGCTTCTGTCTATTTTGAACGACCGGATAGACCTAACTGGGAACCGTATTCCTACGGTACAGCAAATCGACGAATTGTCACGCATGGTGTCAACCACTCTGTCGGGTGGTAACATTCCTGGACCAAGTGCTCGTCGTCTCCTGCACATGCAAGGTCACCAACACCAGCAACCACCGCAGCCGCAGCAACCTCAGCTCAGGCAACAACAGCAATCGGACGAAACAGTGTATCAACCGCCACCGTCACTTACTACTGAGCAGTCCCACTTGAGACGTCTTTCAGAAGGTGTACCTGTCACCGCAGATTCTGGACAATTTGGCTCAGACCACCACTTGGCCGTTGTGTCATCTGCAGGATCTCGGCCTCGCAACTCGCCTTCCGCCGTTTCGGTTCCTGCAGGTCCTAGTGAATCGCTAGGCGTGGACGCTGTAGACGAATTTGCACGTTCTAATATGCCTTCTCAATGTGCATCAGGATCACGTTCTCATCACGGGTCAACTACTGTCAGCACTTTCGCAAAGAACGTTCGAGGTATGTTCCTCATTCTTACTTTGGTCAGCTTCTAACTTCAGTCAGCTTGCGACGTCTACTTTTCATTATCTGAGCGAAGTCAGCATACATTTGTTGAGCAACATTTATTTACTTGGTTCATGTAATGGTTCAGCATTCGTCTCCTCTACATTTTATGTTGTGTATTGGTTCTGACCCTAGTTGCATCGTCGATCTCTGCTATTTAACAAACCCTGTCTCCAGTCCTGCAAACATATGTTACTAAATAACAACGCAGTACAATAAATGAAACATCATCGTTTTTACGCTTCCGGTTTTCTAGGCTATGATATTCATGGCCTGCCGTTTGTGCACATTGTCCTACGGCTTCCTGATACTTTTATGCATTCGAATTCCGTAAATCCTAATATTTCCTAAGACATCTTCATTGGTCCTTCTAAATCGATTGTTCTGTAATTCACTGAGGAAATGAGGATGGCTGAACTTTTCCTTCCATCGTACCTATCCCGCACATGTGCGTCTCATTAACGCACCGCTTTGGCTTACGTTTTATGAACACTTTCTGCATGGCCTATTGACATGTGTGTTATCAACTGCTTACCATTTATACATAAAATCTTCCGATAATATGCGATTCGGTGCTCTATCTGTATACTATGCATGTGACGGGCATAAACGTTGGTGGGATTGTCTGCACCCACTAAGTTCTAAGTGCTACTTTGTACAACTTAGTTACTTGCTGGTCAGCCATGTAGTCCACTGAATTCATTGTTGTAGGTGTGTTTTCGTGAACGATGTTTGTTCTCTACCCGTCGTCACACGCACCGGCACTCGTAGCATTTGTGGGCTCTCAAGTACTCACGATTTAGTTGGTATCAGTGTAATCAGGCCTTTGTTAACTTTGCCCCTTTTCTTTTGCCTTGCTCCCCCTGAACTACCTCCAATCACCACTACTTACTTTTCCTCCTTTCGTTCCTGTGCAAAGGAGGACTACCACAGTAGCAGTAAATTGTTGCCTTCTGTATCTAAATCCTCAATGCGTCCAATAATCCATTTCATTAACCGACGACCTTTTCAAGCTGTGCTGCCCGATGTTCTGTACTGTGTTCGGCTTACATGCTGGAATGCGGATTGTAGCTCGGATTACGCTTGCGCTTTCACAGGATTTCTTAGATGTTTGTGTGTGCTACCGTGTCAAAACGAAAACCCACCACCCCTGTTGATGATTAGACGCATAGTGGACATGCTGTTCTTTCATTACTGTTTATCCACGCCCGGAGCTGCCTAGGCTACAGACTCAAGTTAGACTGGAGTAGACATTGCCCTTAGCTCAAGTGTTGACTTCTCACTAATCGATAGGCTCCCTAAAACATCCACCTGTGCGCATTCCGTTTGATACTGTCAAGCACAACTGAACATCGCATGGACGCGATTATTCATAGTATTGACTTCTAACAAGTAATAAGTACGCCGCTGCTTCTTCTAACTTAGGCACACTGCTGGTTGCCAGAGTTGTGAATGTTCAGGTCACTTCTCCCATCTTCAACTGGGCGAAGTGCGGTTCAACTGGGCTGCATATGTTATCTTAATCCAGAGCATTTGAATAAAAGCGAACGTTTACTACAACTGTAAGCCTCTCCTCAGTGTTTTCCAAGCAACACAGCCTCCCTACACTACGAACGTCGATACCTCACCTGGTATCGTTGGGCAGCTATCCGATGGTTTGTCCGAATCTGTCAGTCCTTAACTGTCGCTCCTTTTAGAATGCCTGCATCTCTTCTTCACTTGACGCAGATAGCTACCGATTCTCACTGCACTTGTTCTTTACTGAAAACAAACCATCCTTGCGGCCGGCAGCCGGAGAGAAATTCAACCAGGCTGGCTATCATTCGCGTTCTAATACAGGACCTACAAGATAAAAATTTAGTTTAATTAACTCAGAGATACCTGTACATATAGGATGCAGCGGTTACCGCTGCTCGCCAGTCTCATCCATTACCGAAGTATTCAGCGATAACCTCAGCCACTAAGTTCATCATTAGGAATACTGTCAGTCTTATTAAAAGGGACCTATTCATCTAAATTTCAACTGACTTCTTGACCCTTGGCGGTTTCGCGCGCAAGCGATACTGGCCTAACTGCGATCAGTATAAAATTTCGATTTATGAGGCGCTCTCGTCAGTCGAGCGTTTCATCGCTTCTACTTCTCTGGTACCATATATACTGTCGTGTAGCGTACGTTGATTTCGTTCACACAGCCACCCGCTGCTTTCACCCAATCCTTCGTTCATTCATTATACACGATAGGTGCAGGTGGAAAACTCCTCAGCTATTGTGCCGCAATACAAAGGACAAGAAGAAAAAACTACAGTGGCAGGCCGGCTGAGTCCCCAGTAACGGATGAAACATCGTTCCGCAGAGCTAACAGCGGGCTATCATGCCGCGAAAGAGAGTTATATTATGCCTAGCGAATGAGATCGTGATTGAAAAGGGTGGCTAAGCAGGATGCGATGGACAAAAGAACTCACAACACAAACACCATTGGAGCGCGTTCTTCGCCATATCAGCAAGTGTGTCCAACCAAACGTGTTCATCGTTCTTAAGACCCCAGTCAGGATGTCGGAATGCACCAACCGACGCCAACTTCGAAGTGAGGGTTTTCAGTTCTCTCGACTAAGTCATCGCTTGGCCTCCCCTCCTGCTCTTTCAACCGCACCCCCGGATCGCAAACAATACACATCGCTTGAAACGGTGTGTTGGCATGCGCAACATGTGGCCCAGCCATCGAAGCTTGGTTCGTGATATAATGGGGTTGAGCGGTTCACTCGCACTTCCTACACCAAATACGCGACGCCGAACACGCTCATTGCTCACGCGGTGCTCCCACCAGACATGAGCTAAGCTGCGAAGGCAGCGATGATCGAATGTGACGAGCCTCTTTCTGTCTGTCGACCTGATGGGCCAGGTTTCACAACCATAAAGGGGAACTGAACGGACGGCTGCGTTATAAACTTTGCCCTTCAGGGGGAGAGTAATGTCGCGTCTCCGCCACAGGTGGCGGAAATTGGCAAATCACCTCGAGCTTTTGCTATACGGTTCGTAACCTCAGACGTTTGCGGTGCCGGCTGTGATGGCACGGGCTGTGAAGGTGCTTGTTGCACCGGCGAGTCAGACTTGTCAAGGTATGCTGGCTTGAGTCGATCGACGTTGACCGTCTCAGTCTTACCATTGTAGTCAATGGTAAACGTTTTGTCGCTTCTACGTACGACACGGTACGGACCAGAGTAAGGAGGCTGAAGTGGTCGGCGTACGCTGTCAGTGCGAACGAACACGTGCGTGCAAGTAGTTAACCGTTCGTCCACGTTTGTACGCAAGCTCTGTGCTCTGGGTTGCACAGGCTGAAGCTGTCGCATGTGATGAGATAGGCGAGCTGCGTAGTCGCCATAGTCGAAAGTTGTTGGCGCTTTTGGTGAGACGAGTTCACCAGGTAAGCGTTGTGCGCATCCAAAGACTAGCGACGATGGAGTGGCGTGCAAGTCCGCTTTAATCGTGTTTCTTATGCCTAAGAGAACGAGCGGAAGTGCTTCGTGCCAGGATGTGCTAGATTGGGCACAGAGTGAGGCTTTGAGTTGCCGGTGGAACCTTTCTACCATCCCATTAGCTGCGGGATGGTATGCGGTGGTTCGGTTATGTTGGCAACCAAGAACGTTGAGCAATTTGCTGAAGGATCCGTCAAAGTGTGATCCTCTGTCAGTGATGACTACGCTTGGGCAACCGAATTGAGCTACCCAGCGTTCTAAGAAAGCTTGCGCAACTGTCTCAGATGAGCAGTTGACTAACGGAATCGCCTCTGGCCAACGAGTGAATCGGTCGACACAGGTGAGTAGGTACACGTAGCCTTTGCATGGAGGCAAAGGTCCGACCAGATCGACATGGACGTGTGCAAAACGAGCGTCAGGAGCGGGAAAGACGCCAAGTGGGCTTTTGGTGTGTCTGTAGACCTTGGCGCGCTGACACTCTAAGCATGCGCGTGCCCAAAGGCGGACATCGCGATTGACGTTGGGCCATATGAAGCGTTCCGTTACGAGCTTCTGCGAAGCACGTATGCCGGGATGAGACAGGTTGTGTAAAGCATTGAAAACTAGTCGACGCATTGAGGTAGGAACTACGGGTCGGGGAGAAGTTTGTGACACGTCACAAAGTATGGTCCCCTCAGATGAAGCTAGTGGGACTTCACGTAGTTTTAACGAGGTATTGCGTCGTAGCTTGTCGATGTCGGGATCAGCTTGTTGGGCAGCAGCCATAGCGTCTAGATCAATGTTGGTGCCAGGCGATAAGCTGATCTGCTGAATGCGTGAAAGCGCATCCGCGACGGGATTGAGAGCACCTGAGACATGACGTACGTCTGTCGTAAACTGAGAAACGTAGTCTAGGTGTCTAGTTTCCCGCGGCGAGTACTTGTCTGTTGCGCCATTGATTGCGTAGATCAATGGCTTGTGGTCGGTGAAGACGGTGAAATGTCGACCTTCGAGGTAGTGACGGAAATGTCGGATACCTAGGTAGATAGCTAACAGTTCCCTACCGAAGGTGCTGTATCGCGATTCGGCAGGTTGGAAGCGCTTTGAGAAGAAACCTAGGGGTATCCATCGATGGTCGATGAGTTGCTGAAGAACTGCACCGACGGCAGTGTCGGATGCGTCAGTCGTCAGGGAGAGTGGCGCAGATGTGTCTGGATGGGCGAGAAGCGCTATGTTGGAGATAGCGTCTTTAAGCTTCTCGAAAGACAATTTAGCGTCGTCTGTAAAATGAAAAGAGCGTTGTTTACCGCGCAGCAAGTCAGTCATTGGTTGAACAATGCTCGCGCAGTTAGGTATAAAGCGTCTGTAATAGTTGACCAGACCAAGGAATCGGCGTAACTGCTTGAAGGAACTGGGAGCAGGATAGTCCTTCAGTGCCTGGATTTTGTCTGGCAGGGCTTCGATACCAGAGGCAGATATGCGGTGGCCAAGAAAGTCGATGGAGCTTTGGCCAAGCTCGCATTTATCGGGGTTGACGG